TATTTATTTACCCAGTAAATATCAGGATAATATTAAAGCAAACTGAACTAGAAAATGCATCAGAATAGAAATAGTATACTTATAACAAAGTAATACAATTACCATTAATACCAATGATTAAACACTATTAGACTATATCTTTAACGAGATACATAAATACTATGAAAACTGTGAAAATTACAATAACCTAGAACAAGCATATACTAATACTGACCAAGCAAAATACTGCTTTGAAGATATAGAAAGTTTAATAGATAAAGAAGAAATTAGAAAACATATATCAGCAATGACACACCAAGAATATTTAGTATATTCCAAACAAGTAGAAACTACAATGCAAAAAGAAATACTCTAATTTGAAAAATACAAAAAATTACTAGAATGTGGAAAGAACCAAATACAAAGTAAAATCAACTGTATTAATAAGATACTAAATGCACATTATAGCTACAAGTATTTAGAATTATTTGAACCACAAGATCGAATATCTATATCAAAGAAACTTAAAGAAAATCTAACACTAAAGAAAATTAATGATTATGAATTATTGGGACTACTTAAAAACCAAGAATTCGTATGCTTAATAGAGCATGACCTGCGAGACTACACTATGAAATAACTAAAACTTAGAAAATCCAAAAATGGACAAAGCTACGATTCACAGACACAATTGATTGTAACAATAGAACAAATATTTACAAAATACTCTAGTCTAGGATTATACACAATATGGAAATGATCTGCAAATATATTAGAAAGGTATTCTAAAACCTGATTTCAATTGAAAAAACAAAAGCATTTTTTATTATCTGAAAATAACAATCAGTTTTAAAAAATCCTTTAAATTTTTTTTACAAAAAGTATCCTAAGGCTATGTAGTTTAGGAATCCTTGAGGATCCCTGAGGCTTTATAAGGTAGTTTTGCACTAAATAACAAAAGTGTAACAATGCAGTCAATAATTTGGCCAAAATTTGGCCAAATTTTGTATTACAGAATTGCAGATCTTTACCAAAAAATGAAATGATTTGCATCACACAACTTTGAAAAATCTCTGACTGTACTCAAAACATTCCAGGGGAGACCGTCCCAAATTAGGTAAAATTTTCGATATAGTTACACAAGGATCAAAAATTTTTTTATGGGTTTTACGACACTTTTTTATATTTTTAGAGCTTTGGATAACCTATCCATTCTATTAATTATAATAAATCGACTAAGTAAACTTGAAGCCTTCGCACTATATTTTAATAAGATCGGTGGATTCAAGTGGATTCAGTTTATATTTTTTATTATAAAAATATGTCTAAAACTAATAAGTGTATGAAATGTGAAGCTACTAAATCATGTAGATTTCGTCTATTAACAGAAAATAAATGGAACGAAGCTGAAGCTAACAGTTTGATCAAGGAAGCTTGGGTAAAAGGTAACAAATTATGTCATAACTGTTATATGAATTTTGTAGAGAATCAATTGAGAAAAGCCAAATGGGTAAAAGTTTAAGCTGAAGTTGAAGATGTTGTAGATGTAGTTGAATCTGACATGAATATAGCTAAAACTGAAGTTGTAGTAGATGCAGAAGATATTAACAGAAAAGAAATAGAAAATAAAATTAAAGAAGGTGTGGAATTAAGAAATTTAAAAACTATAATGAGAGAGGATATAGAGGCCGTAGACGAAGAGGAGGTAAGTATGATTAATCTTGTTGAAGTTGTTAGATCTATGGTGTGAATTTTTTATGAGAGAGAACATATGCGGAAAGAAGGCTCTATATATTTGTTTGATAAAATGCGAAAATTACTTCCACAAATTAACCCAAGCTTGAAGAACTTCTTTGATCAACTTTATTCACTAGCTCAGCCGTTTGAATGTTGTAAGCAGACAATGGGGCGTATAAAAAGATTAATAGTTTTTTTATATTATTTTCTTGCATCATTAAATAATTCAAGAATTAACTCTTTTAAATTCAACTTAGCATATTATTTAGATTCTGTAGATACAAGCAACGAGGGTCTAAATATATTGGCTAATATTGGCATAACTACAACTACAAGAGTAGTAGATCGTAAAAAGAAAAAAATTTCAGAGACCTATAAGGAATATGTAGAGAATGCCCTTAAGAATTGTTCTAAAAATTTTTTCGTATTAAATATTGATAATTATCATAATAAGCACCACTGATATGTCTTAGGCAGCATACATAGCAACAATCGTAATGAATCCGTGTCCCATACCAGCTATACCACGTAATGGGGCACTCAATCCAAAAATCGTTGATGATGAGCTAATTATGAAGCATCTCGATGAATGATTTATGGCTAATCTTGGAGTTTCTTATCATGATTGTGTAAAAGATAAAGGTTCTAATGATGATCTTATAGAAAAACTAATATTGCACAGTTATGATGACAGGTTGGCAGAAAAAAAAAGTGATAGATATATACAGAATGCTATCCTTTTTGATTTTGTCGAAGATAACTTGAAGAGTGTTGAAAATTATATGAAAGCTCTTCAAATCGTGCATGATCAAGAACTGATAGAAGAGTATCTTTCTAACTATATAATACTGATTGTTGCAGATTGGCCTAGGCAGTTTTTTATCTGCAAGGCTATTGCACACCAGGTTCTTCTTAACAATGAAGTTATTCCTCAATTCGTTACAGCATTTTTGCCTATTATGGGGCCTCTTTACATTTCATTGAATAGTCATGAACTTGTTTTTGGCAAATATTCACTTTTGTTAAATAATATTTACAAAAGTATTTTTGGAGAAAATAAGGTTCTTGGTAAGATGCCACAGCTATAGTGGATTGATTTGATTCTTTATATTATGCATATAGCCTGGCTTAATATAATTGATTTTGTTTATTAAAATTTGATAATACTTGTAAAAATATTGAATTTTTATATTTAACTGATCTTTTGAGTAATTTAATCCCTTTAGTTCTCAACATCTATGTGGTGCATCATTGTAAAGGTAACTGGCTAGCTTATGAAGAGGCTTGTATGCACTACTGGAGTGATCTTTTTCTTCGATTTGATCGAAGAAATTACAAACATGCACCTTTAATGTTTTTTTTAGATATTTTTTTTGGATGGATACTAATCACCCATTGATAGATATGATTACTAATTGACTTACCTCTTTAAGTAATTATTCCATAGAGCTTGTTCACAGTATTATTTAACGATACATGACGAAGTTTTCTGAGGCAGAGCAATTGCAGAAAAAGGCTTGTTTTATTTTTCAGCACTGTGAAGATAATGCTTTTTGAAAATATTTTGTTGATTCTGTCAAATATCTATATACACCCAAGCAATTGTACATGCTTTCTCGAAAATGTGCTGTATTACTTTTAGGCTTATTTAAAAAGATATATCAAGCCCACTATCAGTATTCTCCAATTATTGATTCATCTAACAATATTAACACGTATAAGTTGTATTCTTTAAACTATGAAATAATGAATCATCACCTTCTAAGAGGTTTTGTTACCTCTAAAAAACCCTTTACAACCACTTTATATAACTACTTGAATTGTAATTGCATTGATTATTCAGATTGTGATAAAGTTCTTGCTTGTAGGCATGGTTACCATAATCAATACTTAGAGAAGTGTCAATTCAAATGCTTAATATGTTTGGATTATCTTAAAGATGAGATTAAAAAAAATGTCAATGCTCTAAAGGTAAGCCTGGTAAAAAAATTAGGCGGTAATGAGTTTATTGATGAGAGAAGAGAAAATATAGTTGAGGATAATATAGATAATGTTGAAATAGTAATGGGTGATACAACAATGGAAGAATTAGAATTTGCGAAAAAATCATTTCTTGTGTTGTAATATATATGAATTTTCTTTTTATTTAATAAATTAATAAATTATTTAATTCAAAAATTCATTAATTTGATTAATCTGAACTAATAATGATTATTAATTGATTGATCGAATTGTTAACTAATAACAACATAATAATATATGGCGCAGCTAATTAGTACAGGATGTATAAAAACTAAAAGTTGTGTCGATATTTTCTTAAAAATTGCTGAGATATTGGCGAACTAAACATTTATTAAATCCGTTGGTAGTTTATTTAATTTATCATATCGATATTATTAGCGATTATCGAAGTTATTAACTAATAATATTAATAACGCCATCACTACGTAATCGGAAACTGATAATATTAATTTCTTTTTAATTATTTAATAATTCAAAAATTTATTAATTTGATCAATCGGAACTAATAGTATTATAAAACATATAAAAAAAATTTTACCATTTGTGTAACTGCCGGGTGACTCAGGTGCTCGTTTCCTAATTTGGGACGGTCTCCCCTGGAGAATAGACTAGGAAAACCACCCTTTGTTATTAGCTGTCGAAGTGGTTTTTTCTAGGCCATTCTCATTTAGGTGTTTCAGAAATTATGAAACCAGCTTAATGAGATGTATAGCATGTCGGATAAATGGATGGTAGATTAATCCGGATTGGAACTCTAACTTTAACTTTATGTAATATGAATAATTTTTTATATAGCCATTACAACCGTCATCCAAATATCAAGATTTTCGTATCCGATAATTTATTTAGGATAATCCTATTAAATTCGAATCTAAGTACTAATATATTAAATTATTATGAAAAAATGTAGCCTTGACAATTTTCGTCTAGATAAGAGTTATTTTTAAATTTTCACGCGTAACATCATCATAATTCCAATAAACTCATGGATGCCAATCTTCTCAAAAAAAAAAAAAAAAGATAGGCTTGGCAATTTTCGTCTATATAAGAATTATTTTAAATTTTCAAAGCGTAACATCATCGCAATTCCAATAAGCTCATGGATGACAATCTTAAAAAAAAAGAGTAAAAATTTTTTTTTTCCATAAAAAGATTTGCCTGTTATTTAAGTACATATACGAAACTTTTCGTATTTCTAAAAAATATTATTCTTTAATACATCGCTTCGTGCACTCAAATTTCAATATAAACTGGATATGAAAATGATTCAATTTTATTCAAAACTTAATATATACTTTATACTCTTTGTGGCACTACTAGCGATCATTTTGCCATCTTCAGAATCACAAAAGACTGATCCCAAAATTCAATGCCAGGGAGTATCTAAAGCATCCGATAAAAATGAATTAATTGAATATGATGTTGCTAAGAAATGTATTGAGAGCTTTCCTTTTGATGCTAAATTCGCTAAAGATGTAATTATCAATATTTTTTTGTAAAAATTTCATAATTACATATGCTAATTTTTTTTTTTTTTTTACCAAAGACGATTGATGCTACATTACACTTCGTGTCAAATTACTATGCTTTTCTTGACCAGGCTAATGAAGAACCACCAAAGGGATTTACTTATCAACCTGTAAACATAATAAAAGAATTAGAGTCGTTATATAATAAACCTTTTAAATCAGATTACGATTTTACGGTATGTATATACTTTACAATTTATTATTAAAAAAATGATAACATTAAAGTTTTAAATTAACTAGGCTGCCCTAAGAAATACTATTTTCAAATTAAAAGATGGCCATACAAGAATTCTTAATATTTGCTATCAGAATTTCGTTTATGATCAAAACTTAACTTTATACTCTGTAGTTACGACCGATAAAGAAAAAAATAAAAAACAGGTAAAGTAATTTCACATATTAGTATCAGTTGCGTCTACAACTATTACTATTATTATTAATTCATATTATAATAAATTTCGAATATGACAGATAATTAAGGTAATTGAATTTAATTAATTATACAATTTAGAATAATATTATTAAATAACTCTCGATATAGAAAATTTAGACCATATAAGAATGTTATTAATGAATTCTCAATATAAGTAAATTCAAAATTTTTATCATGAATGCGAATCTTTTAAATCGAGAATTACTGTATAGTATATACTATCGCATTAATAATATACTAATGAATATCTTTATTTATCAAAAGGTTTTCGATGATAAATCAGACCCATCAAATAATGACTGTGAAGTTACCGAAATTGATGGAAAACCTGCATTACAAGCAATAATTGTATTTGCAAATAATAGTATTTCATATTTAAAAGATCTGGGAGTCCGATTCAACATGGCTTTGGCTCCTAGTATAGGATTTTTTTCACAACAATTTACTTTGCGAGAAGATTTTCCTGAAACTCCTAGTATTACATATAATTTAACTTGTCCAAACAAATCTTTTAAATTTGAAAGAAAATGGGCTATTACATACGATAGTGCTTTTGAAAACTTTTGCTTACAAGATATTTCTAGTTCAAGTAGTAAAGTTACAGCATTAAAGTCAACATCGGCATCAAGTAGTAAAGTTACACCATTAAAGTCAAGATCAGCATCAAGGAATAAAAATAATAAAAAGTCAAATATTAAACATGCGAAATTAGTAACTGAAGATTTTTACTTAGTAAATAATGGAACAGTTGGTGTCGCAGTAATTACTGAGGAAAACGAAAAATCTACTATATACGCTCTAGCAGATGGTCTTGATAAATTAAATAAACTAGGTGCAAAAAAGGTAAATATTAATAACTGTACTAAACATGTATTATATAATGCATCTACTTTTGTATTTACTTCATAATTTTGACAGCTTATTTTAGATATGTCAAATAATATCGGTGGAGACATTCCTGTAGCCATATTTACGATTTTATTACTATTTCGATCACAACAACAACCATACCTTTTTCCAACAAGCATAAAAATTAATGATTTTACTATTCCAGCAATAGAAAAGAAATTTAAGACACATTCTAGTGATTTTGATGCTTATAATCCATATTCTTATTTGTCATTTCCTTCTGGTGAACCCTTTAAGAATGCTAGTGATTTCATAGGTCCTCGAAAAAATCTAACTTCTAGCTTGCGCCTTGATATTTTAACACCTAATGATAAGCAATTACTCAACAATACATCCTCTTTTCCATGGACTAGTGAAGAAATCATCATCATAACTAATGGATTTTGTATATCAGCATGTGCATTAATAACTTCATTTCTTTCTGAATTTCATAATGTAAAAACAATTTCCGTTGGTGGGTTTCTTGACACACCGATGTCATTTTCCACTTTTCCTGGTGGCTTTGCTACATCAGTTAATGTGATTGCAGAATCAGCTGGTGATCCGAAATTTACTGATCTTCCGAAGGAAATAAACTCACTTCTTCTTACTTTTAGTAAATCTCATGATTTTGACAAAAAAAGTAATATCACAACAGGTATATTAGAATATTTATTTAAACCTGCTGATTACAGACTTTACTATAATGAAAGTAATGCTAGGGATCCTAGCTTCTTATGGATTGATGTGCTAATATTTTAAACAAGAAAAATTAGTCGTAGTATTTCAACTATTAATATCTGTAAAAGAGTAATGAGTAGTAATATCTCCAGAAACGATTCCTTGCATTTCTTAAGGCTTGCAGTTGCATTAAGTTTGTCGTAATTATACATATGCGCGTGTTACAGGACTGAAATAAATTTCTCTTTTAAAAAGCCACACTTTTTTGAGTAATATATATATATATATATATTTGCTTTATTTTTATTTTTTTATTTTTTATTTTAAATATTAGATATATAAATTATTCTGTTCTTATTTTGAACTAACTCCGTATGATTCGTGTTTGTGGCCAGTAAACATCCAATTACTTGCATACAGTACGTATGTATGTACGTACCTACATACGCCATTTAATAATAATTACGTATTTATTAATAGCATTAAGATTCTACAGAAAATTGAGTTTATACGTATCATCCTTAAACTGATGCATTTTTTCCTACCTGCTACCTAATATTTTAGGTAGCGTTCCCACAAAAATTGTTCACCCCTGTAATTTTGACCAATCAAAATTTAGATCAAGTGTAACGTACCATCACCCCTAATTGTTAGGATTACAGGATTAAGGTGTGCTATAGAGGAGGTGAATTCTAAGAAAATAGCCCTGTAGATTTCGACTATTTTTTGTATAACATATCGAAATATCACACCCACTTATATTTCACTTATTCAGGGATGAACAATTTTTTTGTGAGAGAGCCGGAGACGTTTGCTACTAATACAATATATAGAATGTAAATAAATTCTATCTACAGATTTCAAAACTATATATTATCTATTAATTTTCTTATGTACGTACCGGTACGTACGTACGTACGTACCGGTACTAAAAAGGATTTTCAGTTCCATTATTTTCCGTGGCAATGCACGCAAAACTAGTTTAACCAATTAGTTAAACGGATGATGCTTAATGTAGTAATATGTTACACTTAGTATTTAAATATGGTACAGTACTGCAGTAACGTAATAACTTATATAACGATAGCGATAATGCATACGTATCTATCTTTCTCTTCTTTTTTTTTTTTTCTTGATTTTAAAATGACAAATAATTTAAATGCAGAACATTCAGAAAGCATCGTTAATTCAAATGAAATTACTCCAATAATTGATAATTTTAGTCAATTATATTTAAAAGATAATAACTCTTTTAACGAAATTATTAAAGAATTATATAAAATATACGATGAAAAAAGATTAAAATGTGATGATTCGGATTCAATAATTAACACATGGGATCAAATTTTAACAAAAAAGAAGCAAAATTCGGATAAAATTATTAATTGGTGCTTGGATAATCAAAATAATCCTATGGTTCAAATCGTTCTTGCAAGGTGTTATCGTTTTGGTAAATGGATTGAAAAAAACGAATATAAAGCATTTATTTACTATCAAAAATCTGCTGATATGGGACTTGCTGAAGGAATATTTGGTGTTGGTGTTTGTTATGATATAGGAATTGGTGTTAATAAGGATGAAAATAAAGCATTCATTTATTATCAAAAATCTTCCGATATGGGTCATACTAGTGGAACTTTTAATGTTGGTTGTTGTTATGAACAAGGAACTGGTGTTAAAAAGGATGAAAAAAAAGCCTTCGTTTATTATCAAAAAGCTTCTGATATGGGTTATGCTTGGGGAACTTTTAATGTCGGTTGTTGTTATGAACAGGGAACTGGTGTTGAAAAGGATGAACATAAGGCATTTATTTACTATCAAAAATCTGCAGACATGGGTTGCATTAGTGGAATGTATAATGTTGGATATTGTTATCAAAACGGAATTGGAATTGAGAAAGATGAATATAAGGCATTTGATAATTATTTGAAGTCTGCTGATGTGGATGATGCCGATGGAATTTATAATGTTGGATATTGTTATGAAAATGGAACCGGTGTTAAAAAAGATGAACACAAAGCGTTCATTTATTATCAAAAATCTGCCAATATGGGTAATGCTAGTGGGATAAATAACGTTGGATACTGTTATGATAAAGGAATTGGAGTTGAAGTAGATGAGCATAAAGCATTTATTTATTATCAAAAATCTGCCGATATGGGTCATGCAGTTGCAATGAAAAATGTTGGCTATTGTTACCTTCATGGATCTGGTGTCAAAAAAGATGAATATAAGGCTTATATTTATCATAAAAAATTGGCTGAAATGTAACAAACTGTCTTGTTTTATAATTGTTTAATTTTATAATAAAAAATCAAATTGTAAAATGTTCAGTATAAAATGATTTTATTTAACTGTTATAATTTATTTTCGGAATTAATATTTAATTATTAAATAAAGGTATTTCTAATTAATATTTGTAATTTAAAACTGGTTTAAATTTTTTTTCTTTTTTTAAAATAACAAAATAAAATTATTTAGCTAAATTATTACATAATATTAAAATTTACTAAATAGCTTTTTATAAATTGTAATAATCGAATATTTAATAAAATTAATTTTAAATCCAATTAAAAATTGCCATTATATAATTTTTACATAAAAACAATATATTATATTTTAAGCAATATTATTAATTAATTACAAAAATAAAAATTAGTTAGCTATGTACAATTTTGTTATTGCTATTTAAAGTTTATTTGATTGAATTAATGACGTGGAAACTCGATTTTCTAATAAAACTATGCACTATTTTTTTTAAATCGTTTAATTTTGTGCATACGTTGCATTAATTATCACTAATTAATCGGGTGCTGGTCAAAATCCCGACAAAAAAATCCAGACAGAAAAATCCCAACAAATCCCGACAGCAAAAAATTATTTTCATTTAAGTTAGGGTAGGGTTAGGTGAGTGCATTGGTTAGGGTTAGGGTTAGGGTGTGTACTCAGGTTAAGGTTAGGGTTTAAGCGATTATATCGGGTGTCCCAAAAGTTCCTATACTATATATAGGCTATTTTCAGAGGAAAATGATGTAAGTAGGCAGGCAGGAAAGCCTATTTACGTGAAAGAATCAAGTAATGATGGTCAGACTCAATGCACAGAGCAGACTCTAGATTCATATACAGCTGTAAGAGCCAAGCATATAGTGAGTGATTTTGCAGAAGATCTTACTCTCTCCTTAGATACCAAGTTATCTGACCTTTCTGAGGAAATATGCTTTAACAAATTTCTTAACAAATACAATTTACCACTTCTTTTATATCCATAAACTCTCAAATTATTTCTTCATCACTTGCTCAAATATTCTTTCTTTCAACTCTATAAAATATCAGTTAATATTATT